ACACATTTTTGAATATATTTATATGTCATTGGAATACATATATTGCTGGAATATGTATATTATTGGAATACATATTAGTGGAATATTTCAAGCTTATGGTTATTTCTGAGAAAGGGACATAACTACTAAGTCTGAGGAGTAGAAGCATTTGGAAGCATTATAATCCTTTCACCTTTTTTGCCTGGGGATTGAATCCAGGGCCTGTGTACGTTAGGAAAGTAAGTACTCCGCCCCTGAGACACACTCAGCTCTAACTTTCACTTTTTACATTATCTAATTCTGAAATATTTTCAAAGCACATATATTATAAACCACCAGAAACCATAATGAAGACAAATTTTTGCAGACTCACATAAGTAAAAGCACATTTTCAGCTGTGTTTCTCTTATCTCGTATAGAGCTATCCTTGGTGTCACTGGGGGTTGGATCCAGGACCCTGGGCCTACCATGCTTCATATGTGTTCCAGCCCCCTATAAAAGGGCATGGTGTTTACATATAACTATACACACTCTCCCCCTACAGGTTCTTCACGTCATCTCTGGATATTTACAATACTTGATACAATGAAAACGCTGTGTGAATGATTGTTATACCATATTGTTTGGGGAACGATGATAGAGAGAAAAGTCTACATACATTTAGCTCATATTCAAGTTTTTTTATGTATTTAGCACAGGGTCTACAGGGTCTCACTACACAGATCAGACTCAGAGTGATTCTCCTGTTTTCAGCCTCCCAAGCATGGGGATTACAGGCACGCGCCATCATGCCCAGTCTCAATCACTGGTTCAGTGCACCCCGGGGTCAGGGCTGGCACTGCACGTGGGGATCAAGCCCTGGTCCCTGAGTCTGCCTAAGCAGGTACTTTAATCTGCTGAGCTCTCTGGCTAGCCTATATTCAGGGTTTTAAAAAATATTTTTGATTTATACTTGGTTGAATCTAAGGATGTAGACCATGAGGATACAAGATACAAACTGTATTAAGGTGAAACCTGGTTAATTTTGTTTCCAGATTTTCTGTTGCTTTTCAAAATAGTATTCAATTCCAGAAACAAAGATTTATTTATTTGTTTTCAAAATTTTGTGGCTTTTCCTCAAAACGTTGAAGTCTTAGTCTTATATATATCTGAAAAGGTCATAGGTCACACAGTACTTTCCTTATTGCCCTACTTAAAATTTATATTCCTAAAATGTCTGCTAATTGTATATAATGTACATCAAATTTCCTGGCTTTAATCTCCAATGTTAAAAAACATAGAATTTATTAGATTCCTGTGTGTCAGTTATGTTCTTGTACACAATAGGTCTAGCTTTTAGGTGTTATTTTAAAACCTAGTATAATACTTTGAGACCCAGGATCATCTAAGCAAAAACTTAATGCTCATGTGTGTGAGGTATGAGGAAAATAGGGTATGTATATTTTAAAATTTTTATTACAGTAAAAGACACATTGCTATTAATCTTCCTCAAAAGATTCACCTTCCACATCAGACACACTTGTCCTACTAGTCTTGCCACTTTCTGAATCAGTTCTGGAAGTCCTCTGTCCTGTCTTTAGTCTTGCTGTTGGGGCTTCCTTGATGTCCTAAATCAAGTCAAATGTTTACTTCTAATGGTCATTTTGGCTTTGAGGAAGATCCAGGAGTCATGTGGTACCATATTTGGTGAATAAGGTGATGAATACATACTCTAATGTTTTTTTAAATTTTTTTTATGTATTTAGTACAGGGTCTACAGTGTCTCATGATACAGATTGGACTCGTAGTGATCTTCCTGTTTTCAGCCTCCCAAGTGCTGTGATTACAGGCACTGCGTTACCACACCCAGTCTCAGGAGCAGTCTCAGCGTGCCCCGGGGGTGGGGCAGGCGTGGGATGTGGAGCTGGTGGGGATCGAAACCTGCTCCCTGAACCTGCCTAAACAGGTCCTTTAGTCCACTGAGCTATCTGGCCTGCCCTTACACTCTAATGTTTTTATTGGATAGAAATTTCCTTAAATGGTTGCTTAATGTGGGAGATCAAAAAACGCAGCATCAAATCAAACATTTATTACAGTAAATGAAACATTGCCATTAATCCTTCTGAAAAACCCCAAATATTCCTTTACTTCGACATCCAGTCATTCTTGACTATATTTCTTTACTGTAATAAGATCTTTAACTTTAACATTCACTGTATTTTTCTATCACTTCTTCAATTATTGACGGTTGATGATAGTGTACTCAATCAAGTACAGCCTTCTCAACTGAACTTTGCATCTGTCCCAGCAGGGGGAGCCAGCCATCAAGCCGTCTGTAGCAGAGGCAGAAACAAGGTGGAAGTACTGAGTCTTGTTTTTTCTCTAAAATTGATGTTTCTGGGCTGTGGAGACAGATAGCTCAGAGGCATAAGCACGTGCCTGGCAAGGATAAGTTCCTGCGTGCAATCCAGGATACCAAAACAAATAAGCAAAATAAAATAAAGTTGGTGTTCCTACACACTTCAGTTTGAATCCTTTGACTTCCATTTGTAAAAGGTCCACAATTTGTATCACACACTCTGACTTGATCAAGTTAGCAACCTATTTCCTTGAGCTCAGGGCATATTAAACTTTCCTGACCATGAAACCAATGACTGCTTGCCTAAAGGACAGCCAGTTGGCAGTAATGTGACAAGATACATTGGTATCAGCAGGAATAGTGGAAAAAACTTTACTTGGGGAGAATCGTCTTGTTTTTGCTAAGTAATTTTTAAGTGAAGCATTCTTTAAAAACTATGCTAGTATACATGAAGTTCATGGACCCATTAAAAATTCCACTTTTTAGATTAACTTTTTTTTCAGAAAGAATTACCTTGCAGCAATACATGCCTATAATCCTAGGTACTAGGGCGACTGAGGCAAGCAGATTACACATTTGAGGTCAGCCTAAGCAACTATGATGTGAGACTCTCCTTCAAATTTTAAAAAGGTTAAGGATATAGTTCAATGGTAGAGCATTTGCCTAGGAAACTTGAACTCCTGGATCTAATCTCCAATACTACAAAACAAAACAACTCGCTGCTCTTATAACTGTGTTTTGAAAATCAAATGGAAAACCTGTCTCATTGTGCTCTATTTTGCCAGAAAATTGCCATCAAAGTCAACCCAATTTACTCTTTTTTTTCCAGGAATTACTGTGTAGTTTTATGTGCAATTTTTGTTAAATATAATGTAAAATAAATTATTTTCAAGATAATTGCTTAATAGCTACCAATTTCTAAATGACATTATTGATACCCAATACATGGTGGAGATCTTACATATTTCTGGTTATTTGATTTGATTTAAATGCAGAATGTGTGACTAGACTTCTGGGGTACTGTGAAATCTTTGACCTTGGATGCAAAATATTTTATATGAATGAATGTGCCAAAGAGGATGCAAATCTTCTCAAAGGATCTGGTGAGCTAAGAAGAAAGAACCACAAAAAAAAAAGAAAGAGAGAGGAGAAGGAGAAGGAGAAGGAGAAGGAGAAGGAGAAGGAGAAGGAGAAGGAGAAGGAGAAGGAGAAGGAGAAGGAGGAGGAGAAAAAGGAGGAGAAACAGTTAAGGAAATTGCTTCCGAGTATCATAGCTATAGAGTATAGGCTTTCTTACACAGCAAATCTCACATTAAGGTTTAAGAATAGATATTGAACAAGAAATGACCAACTTTTCCTTCACAAGTACACCAGGTGTTTCAGGAAGTTCCTATAAAGAAGAATTAAATTTTATGATACAATCTAGATGTGACAAGAAGAAAAATCTGAACAAAACACTGGAATCCTGGGATATCACAGCTGCAACACAGGCACCAGACAGTCCAGTCCCCAGTGCCATTCTTGTGTCACACACACACCCTGGTTACCTCAGACTGCATGAAGGTGACAGGAACACGTTCATCTTCCAACATGCGTCTGGATGCCTTTTGCCAATACATATAATCAACAAGAGATTTATGGTCGAAATTTCCTGTTGGTGGCTTGTCCGTCTGATCTTTCTGGATCATGCCTACAGGGAGGCGAGGGTCGGGAGCCATGACTTCCATTTCTGATTGCAGTTCCTTCAGCTCTTCGGGAGACAAATTGGCCAAGAGCTCATCTTCATCAAGTTCCTCATCAAGGAGTTCTTGATCTGAATTCCTGCTATGCTCTGACATTTTTTCTGTTTCTATATCACTTTAAAAAGAAAAGAAAAGAAATAATGAAAGATGCCTTTTTAAAAAGGAGGAAGAAAAACACAACCAGTTCTAGAAGCTAACAAGTATCTCAGGTCAGCCCACCCTTGAGATCTTCTTCCCAAGAACCTCAGTGGTGTTTGCAAGGTGGCTAGGAGCAACTACAGCTAAGCTCGGGCCAGATCTATATTAAGTAGCGCTTGGCTGGACAGGGTCAATTTATGGAACTACTACACTACTCTCTTTTTGGCAACTTGAGTCAGCTGTGCAAATCCATTTGACATTTCAGTACAGCTGCTTGCATTTGCCAGTGAGTAGCAAGTCTACAGAATCTCTGCAGGAATAAGGTTTGTTCTCTTCCTGCACGCCCCTTACATTCCTGCACAAAAATCCATGCAGCCCACACCAGCACACCCCATTTCTCCGTGGAAGCCTGTTTCTCTTTACTTAAAGGATGAAAACGTCTTACGGAATACCAGAAGAGAAACCCAGCCAGCAACATCAGTTCTTGTGGAGTGAAAAATTCATATTAGTGTGGGATTCAAGCTCTTGGGGTTTCCCTCTTCATTCCAGTGAGACTCTGGGAGCCAGTAAACCTGCAGAAAGGAGAACAGAGGTCTTGCTACACCAATCTGTCTGTGTAAGCTGAACCTTTGCAGGATGTCCTTATTTGCATCTAGATTCTGTGATCTACCAGATGGGGATAGCCAGCACTTGAATTGCCAGCATGAGCAAGGGCTTTAATATTTTATATTATTTGGTTTTCTTATTAAGTATCCCTTAAGCCTAGATAACATAAAGTGGAGCTAAAGTGAAATGTACAAAGACTGGGACATTAATGACTAAATGGTTTTGTGAGAATAGGTTTTATAATTTCAGGGGCAAGGTAACAATATTTATTTAAATTACAAATGTATTATTTCATTTGACCTAGCAATTTCACTTTTAGAAATGTACCCTTCAGGTATATTCCCACACAGAAAGAAGGAGAAGCTTACTCAGAAGAGCAAAGTGTGGAACAGTCCCTCACATGCTGTGCGGGTGACAAAGGGCACAGACAACAGATGTGAACGTTAATATGGCATCAATGTAACAGATCCTTGTGAAGATACACAAGAAAGCTAGCATTGTGAACACTTAGAAGAGGAAAGGGTGGACTAAAAAAACTATAAAGAAGACTTTTTTACTATAAATCCCCTTATTTTAAAACCTTGTGAATATAAAATTGATTCAAAAATATTCATTTATTGTAGAAAACAACATAAGGAAGGTACAGAAAAAATGAAAATTTTTCTTTGTCTCATCACTGCTTAGAGTTACTATTATTAAAATTTTGATTTATTATCCCAGGATATGAGCATTCTTATTGTTGTCATCTGCTTTTTGTTTTGTGGTGCTGTGAATCAAACCCAGAACCTTGCACGTGTTAAGCGAGTACTCTGCCTCTGAGCTACATTGTCAGTCCTGTTGGCTGTTTTAAAGAGAAAAGAACAATAAAAACAGTGATATAGAATTTCAAGACATGATAATAGGAGATTAACAATGGCTAGTATATTGTTATCTTCAAAGTAGTTGCTCATATTATAAGATATAAGCATGAAAAATTAAACAATATAAACACTGTAGTGGTTGATACAGTGTGTTAACTTGAGAAGTTAAATGCTTAACTTGTTTGGCTCAGCAGAGAGCCTGAGTTTTTACTTTGGATGGGTCTTTTTTTTTTTTTTTTGGTGGAACCGGGGATTGAACTCAGATCCTTGCGCTTACCCTACTGAGCCATTTCCCCGGCCAGAGTTTTTACTTTGTAAACAACTTTATCCTGTTCAGGAAGAAGGCATGAACATTGTGTAGTTCTACACCTCCTCCCTAGGGTGTGGTGGGCCTGTCCTGGGTCGTGGGGGGCCCTTCCTAGAGTGACTCAACACTTAAAGGATATATTTAAAAAATCGAGGAGAGCTGGTTTGTCCCACTTCCTTGGAGGAGCTCCAGTTGTCAAAGTCAGTGTGAAAGGAAGAGAGGCTTGTTAGATACTGCAGCTGCATCTCCTCCTTTGCTCTTTGCTGATTTCTGCTGCCATAAACTTCTCCCTCTGCCATGTGCCACTCTGCCTCGGAGCCAGCTGAGTATGGACTGAAACCTCCACTAACTGTGATCTAAATAAACCTTTCCTTCCTTAATTTGGGGTGTTGGGTATTTTGTCCCAGCACCAAATAAAAAGTAACTGAGACAAGCACAAACTATTCTGTTTAATGAGCTAATAGAAATTAGTAGTATAATTATCCTACTATATTGTGTATGTCTATCCATATCCATATCTGTATCTGTATTTTCTTTTCCCTTGATTCCTTTCTCCTTTCACCCACCACAATTGTACTTTTCTTTTGAGCAGTTTCAATCTTTCACAATGTCTATTGTACATTTTGGATCTTATTTACTCTTTCAGTTTCTTATGCTAGTGAGCCAATCCGATGTTTACTCATGGAAGTCTGATTTATTTCACTTGCGAGTAGGTTCTCAAGTTGCATCCATTTACTTATAAAAGGCTTGAGTTTATCCTTCTTTATAGCTGAGTAATACTCTGCTGTATAAAAAGCACCCCATCATTTTTATCCATTCCTTACTTAATAGACATTTGGGTTGCTTCCAAGATTTAGCTCTGAATAATTGTACTGCTATAAATATGGGTACACATATATTGCTATGATATGATATTTTTAATTCTTCTGGGAAAAATACTCAGAAGAAAAATAGCTGGGTTGAATGGGATCTATGATCCTAGTTTTTTGTGGAATATTCATGCTGATTTCCACAGTGGTTGCACCAGTCTACACTCCCACCAACAGGAGAAGTGTTCCCTTTTCCCCAAAGCCATGCCAGCATTTGTTACTGGCTGCTCTCTTGATGATAGCCGTTATTTCCGGGGTAAGATGGGATCTCAGTGTTGTTTTAATTTACATGTCTTCAGATGTTCATTTTTTATTATCATTATTTATTTTTTTTTCTGTACCAGGGATCAAACTCATGACCTTGGGCTTTCCAGGCAGGCGCTTAGGCAGCAGAGCTATATCCCTGGCCCCTGGAAGCCCATTTTTTGATTGAATCTTTGAATTTGGGAGGTCTGTTTTTTTTTTTTTTATTTCTATATGTATTCTGGATTATAGTGCTTTGTCTTAGGAACAGTGTTTCTGTTTCAATATTTAGATCTTTGATCCATTTTGACTTTAGTTTAGTGCATGGTAATAGACAAGGGTCTGGATTTAGTCTTTGGCATGTGAAAAGCCAATTTTCCCAGCATCTTTTATTAAAGAGGCTATCTTTCTTCCATGGAAAATGCTTGGAAACACTGGTAAAGATAAGGTAGCTGAGTGTGTTTGTAGGAACAGTTTTTAACCAGTTTTTAGGAACAGTTGGCTAAAATGTTTTCTCAATCTTTTGGTTTTCTTTTCACTCTGTTATTGATTTCTTTTGATGTGCAAAAATATTTTAAAAAGATGAAATTCCAATTCTTGATTCTTTGAAGTACTTCCAGTGTAGTTTGTGGTTTATTCATGAATTCTTTCTTTACCCCTATGTCTTCAAGATTCCTACCTACCTACCTACTTTCTCTTCCAGCAGATTTAGTGTTTCTGTTTCAATATTTAGATCTTCGATCCATTTTGACTTTAGTTTAGTGCATGGTAATAGACATGGGTCTGGATTTAGTCTTTGGCATGTGAAAAGCCAATTTTCCCAGCATCTTTTATTAAAGAGGCTATCTTTCTTCCATGGAAAATGTTTGTAAAGATTTGTAAAGATAAGGTAGCTGAGTGTGTTTGTAGTTGTATCTGCATCTTCTAATCTGCTTCATTGATATTCAGGTCTGGTTGTTTTCTTTTTTCCAGTACTGTGCTGATTTCATCACAGTAGCTTTGTAGTATAATTTCAAGCCAGGAATTGTGATGCTTCTTGCCTTGCCTTTGTTCCCCAGAACTGCTTTTACTATTCTAGGTCTCTGTTGGTTCTAAATGAGCTTCAGAATGTTTTCTATCATTCTGTAAGGTTTGCTAATGGTATTTTGATTTGGATTACATTAAATCTGTACAACAATTTTCAGAATATGGCCATTTTCACAGTGTAGGTTGGTCTCATTCATGAGTAAGGGCTATCTTTCTATTTTTTGGGTTCTCTTCAATCTCATTTTTTAAAGAAGTATAATTTCCAATACATAGATCTTTAACTTCTTTTGTTAGATTGATTGTTATTTCATTTTTTGGATGCTAATATGAAAGGTATGGTTTCCCTAATTTCTCTCAGTGAATTTATTTGAATACAGAAATGCTATTGATTTTGTGTGTTGACTTTGTATCCAGCTATGCTACTAAATTTGCTTATTAAATCTAGAAGTCTTTTGGTGGAGTTTCTGGGGTCTTCTCTTTACAGTATCATGTAATTTGTGAATTATGGTATAATTTAACTTCTTTTCCAATTCTTATTCCTTTTATTTTTCTCTTATCTAATTGCTCTGGCTCATGTTTCCAGAACTATATTAAATAGAAGTAGTAATAATGGACATCCTTGTGTTGTTCCTAATTTTAGGGTGACAGCTTTTTGGTTTTGATCATTTAGTGTGATGTTAGCAATTGATTATCATTGATCGCTTTTATCAGATTGAGGTAAAATCCATCTATTCTGATTTTCTGTAGGATTTTTATCATGAATGAATGTTAGACTTTATCAAAAGCTTTCTTTTTGTACATTGAGATGATGTATGTCTTTGGCTTTGTTGATATAGTGTATTGTATTTATTGATTTGCACATGTTGAACCATTCCTGCATTCCCAGGATAGATCCCACTTGATCATGGTGTATAATCTTCTTGATTTGCTGCATGCTGGTTGATATTATTTTATTTTATTTATTTTTTAAAGAATGCAAAGTGGTAAAACAAAAAGCACTAGAAATGATACAAAATTTCATTAAACAAAGTAATATGTATTCAACAATGCTTGCTATATTGCATGATGTTATCTTTGAAATTAGTGTTTAATCTTGAAGGGATTTGACTGACCTTATCAAATACAAAAGCTACATTTCTTGTTATATAGGTCTTGCTTTATCTTAACTATCCAGCAGAAAAGCATAAAAATGAAGTATGAGAAGTAAAACTATATTA